ATGGAAGGCTGAACAGACTGGAGACAAATGTCCAAAGGCAATGGTAAAACCTGGAGCTCCTCCAAAGAAAAGCACAGATTTCCTTCTTCTTTCCCTTTTTATCCCGTCCAGGCTACCAGCCTATTGGTTAGTATCACTCACATTCCCGGTGTGTCTTCCCTTCTCATTTTGCAGCCTACATGGCAATCATCCAGAGGTACACCCAGAACATTACTAATCTGCTAGGTGGCTCTTACTCAACTGGACATATCACAGTTAATGATCACACATGTATCAGCTAGAAATAAATTTAAAAGAAAGAAAGATATGTCTTAAGCATGTGGAACCAAGGACTCAGAAGCCATGGGTTAGGGTTGGGATTAATTTCAGGATTAGAAGAGGGCTTGTCATGCTTCTTGGTTGTGCCCTTGCATCATGACAGCTGCAGGTCCCTGTCCATGACAGGGTGGGGCCCAGGTCTGCTGGTGCCAGGTTCTCACAATGCCAGAGAAGATGGATGGAGACTGTCTTACTGTCTTACCTGGGGACAGTCACACAAGCTCCCCCAGGCCAGACCTCCCCTGAGTTTCCAAGTCTGGAAGATGTGTGGGTAAAGGGCACCCACCATGGCCCCCAAAACATGCCACCACCCAGCAGGGAGGCCCAGGCCCACCTCCTAAGGCTACCACCTTCCAGGCTCCTGGCCAGACTGGAAATGAGGAGCTGGAGAAGCCAAGCTGGGGAGGTGAGGAAACCAGGGCAGCACTGGGGCACAGCAAAGCCATGATTAATCCCCTTTGTCTTTGAGATCAGAGCCTGTGGACCCAGTGATGTAGCCAGACAGAAGGGCCCCCACCCCAAGCCTGGAGACAGTCCCTTCCGTGCCAAAGTTTATCCAGGATTGGCTTTACCAGCATGGGCAGCACCAGCTCCTTGCCTGGCTGTCATGTTTCCCCAGGGCTTTTCCCTGTCCTTCCCATTCTCTACTCTGCCCGATAATACAAATGGTCCCAGAAGCTAGGTGTGGTAGCGCATACCTATAATCTCAGCTACTAGAGAATCTGAGGCAGAAGGATCACAAGGCCAGCCTGGACAACTTAGAAAGACTTGGTCTCAAACTGAAAAATAAAAGGGGCTGGGGATGTAGCTCAGTGGTAGAGCACTTCCCTAGCATGAACAAGGCCCTAGGTTTAATCTTCAGTATGTCAAGATTTTAAAAAGTTAAATGAGGCCATAAGGGCCCTACTGCAGTGAGATTGTGGCTTTACAAGAAGAAGAGGAAAGTCCTGAGCTGGGACAATCTCTTGTCAGGCGATGCCCTGCACTTCCGCAGGACCCAGCAGGAAGGAACTTCTCAGATGTGGCTGCCCAATCCTGAACTTCTCAGCCTTCAGAATTGTGAGCAACATAAACCTCTATTCTTTATAAATCACTCCATCTGTAGTATTCAGAAAACCAACTAATCTACTGCCACCCTGTGCCATTGCTGGGATGATTAAAGGGGATAAGAATAAAAGAACCCAGCATGTAACAAACACTCAATCCATGTTAGCTATGATGACAAAGACAGTCACTGTCACAGATCCTGAGCCACAAGGGGGAACATCTCCATTCAGGCTCTAGAACACCCACAGTCTCCCTACCCTGAGTTCTAGGGACTGCTCTGGGTGCCAGGAGTCCAGAATTGTTGTGTAGATCTAAAATGCACCCCAAAAGTCTTCTGTTCAGAAGCAGGGCTTTTAGAAGGTGACTAGATCAGGGGGACACTATGCTTCTGAGTGCATTTGTTCATTGATAAGTTAATGGTTGAGTGTGCTGTTCAGAGGCATGGCCTGGTTCGAAATGGGTCACTAAAGGTGTGACCTGGAAGGGTGTGTTCTTGTCCCCAGATCCTTCTGTCTTTGCCTCCTGGCCACAATGAGGTGAGCAGCTTTCTGTCCTCCATCAGGCCCTTCTGCCATGGATTTTTGCCTTGGAGCTGACCATGGACTGAACCCCTCAGAAACTGCGATCCAAATAAACCTCTCTTCCTTCAAGTTGCAAAGGGAAAGTAACTAATATAGGTAGGTCAAGTGTGCTCATTGTATTTTCAGTTTATGCTATTTCCACCAAATGATGGGTTTATCAGATCCTAACTCCATGATAAGTTGAGGAGCATTTGTGCTTTCAGACCTGATAAAACAGAAATGGACCAACTGAGACTTCATGTCTCTCAACCCCAAGCACAGAGGGCCAAGTTAAAGGCTCCTTCTAGGCTCAGCCACTGGGGGACCTGATATAAACACACACACACACACACACACACACACACACACACACACACACACACAATCCTCCCTGGCCCTGCCAGAACATCTGAGCAGGAGCCTGTCCACTCACACCTAACCTTCTCTTGCCCTCTTCCAGTGCCCATCAGGGGACAATTGACTAAGTTTATTGGAGTAAAGGATTTGGGCTCTTGTGGTTGCCCAAGTGAGGCCACCCATCTGGTGACTCCCCCCCCCCATCCAAGTCCCCCTCCAAAAAGCTGAGGAGGCCAAAGCCAAACCAGAAGCCATGGTCTCAGCCTAAGACCAGCCACAGATGTCCTGGTTTTGCCCATGGATGCCGTGATGTCCTGGGTGTTGCCAGGCAAACTGTGCTCAGCCTGGGCATTTCCTTCTGTACTGCAAAACACACCTACTCAACCTGTAGGGCCACCCTGAGAAGTACGGGACAGACAGGAATGAGCAGCTCTGTATCTCAGCATCACAGCCTCTGTAGTGCCAAGAAGGGTGGCACACTGGTTCAGAGCCAGGGCCTCACAGAGGAGGAGGCACACGAATCCCTGGGGTAAAAAATGCCTGTGACATATACTGAAAGAGCAATGTATTATTGGTGAACAAAGACCTCTAACCAATCAATAAAGAGGGAAGAAACCAGAGAAAATGGGAAGCCAATATAAACAGGCACATCATAAGCCAAGAAATCCAAAGGGTCGTGAACACCTCAAGTAATAATAGGTGTCAACACTGAGCCATTTTTGAGAGCCAAACCTGCTTTCAGTTCACACGTAGAAGCCATTAAGCCCTCAGACCCAACTAAGAAGGCAAAGACCATCCCTATGCTCATTTCCTCACAGATGAGGAAACATAGGCCCAGTGACATTTCAACTACTTAGCCAGCATCATACAGCTCGGTGCCAGAGGAGGGATTCTCTCAGGCCGTCAGGCAAAACACAGCCTTCATCAGAGCACAGCTCTGCAAACCAAAATACCATCTCTTCACCTATCAAACTAGCCAAAGCACAGTATTAAATTCTGATAACACTCAAATGCCGGTGTGGATGTAAGCAAACACACACTTTCGTGTAATGTTGGTGCAATCTTTTGGGGAAGTAGTTTTCCAATATCCGTGGACATCTTGCACGTATCACCTGATGAAAAGCTCACCCCATAGATATTCTCATGGCGCTATTTATTATTACGCAGTTCTTATCACAGCCAGGAAATGTGGGAACAGGGATCTGCCCTTCATTAGGAGGAAGGAAAACTTGTGCAGCTTCTTGGAGAGACAACTTTGAGTTTGGCAGCTTCTTGCAAAGCTAAACCTATCTTATCAAACAATCCAGCACTGCACTCCTAGATTCACCCAACTGAGCTAAACTTAGGTCCACATGAAAACCTGCCCACAAATGTTTACATACAGCTTTATTCTTCATAGCCCAAACTTGGAAGCAACTAAGATGACCTTTAGTAGCTGGATAGATAAACTCTGGTATAGCCATGCAATGAATGTTATTCAACAACAAAAAGAAATGAGTTATCAACCATGAAAAGACATGAGGAAGCTTTACTCCAGTCTGAAAAGACTCCATACTACATGATTCCAACACTACAACATTCTGCAAAGAACAAAGCTGCAGACACGGTAAGGTCATACAACCACTGTGGAAATCAGTATGGAGGTTCCTCAAAAAACCAAAGCTACAAAATCCATTCCACCCAGCTATTCCCCTTCTAGATAGCTTCCCCAAAGAGTTTAAAACATCATATTACAGGAACCCATGCACACCCATGTCTATAGCAGCCCAACTCATAATAGCTAAGTCTTAGAAAGAGCCTACATGTCCATCAACAGATAAATAAAGAAAATGTGGTAAATAAACTATGGAGTACTACTTTGCCATTAAAAAGGGTAAACTTGAGTCATTTGTAGGAAAATGGATGCACCTTGAGACCGTAATGTTAAGTGAAATAGACCAGACACACAGCGTAAATGTCACATAGTTTCTCTTATATGAGAAATCCAAAGTATAAATAAACAGCAAAATAAAAGACAGATAATAGGAAACAAGGACATAGATCTTTCACAAATAAGAAGGGGACCAAGAGATGAAGGGAAGGAAAAGAAAAATGAATTAAGATGTACGATGATGCACATGTACCAATTCCTCACAAGGAATGTAATCATTACACACGGTAAACATGGACTAATAAAAATAAAAATTTGAAAGAAAAAAGAGAAATGGTCAGGGGACCTGAGCTGGTACGGAGGGAGTTGGCAGGAGGTCACAGAAAAGATCGGCCAGCAGTAACCTGTGGAGCTTTTGAGGGAAGAGGGCCAGGCCTGTGCTTCACACAGTCCTCTATTTGCAGGTCTTACTGTGAACATGTACGATGTCTGAAAACAAAAAGTCAGGGCCAGCTGGCTTAAATTCTTATCACAAAATAATTGTGATTTTCACTTTTGAAAGATAAACCAAAAGCTAATCCTGGCATTTGAATTCCATCTCCTTCATCTCCTAGCTGTCCAACCTCAGCCTACAGGTGTGGCAGACCCAAGTGTCCACAGGGGACGAGGGACAAGGAGATGGGGTGGCCTTGGCAGAGGAGGAGGCCAGGTGGCAGCTAGGAACAACATGGAAAGACTTAAGAGAAGACTTAGTCATTAAGAGAAATGACATTTAATGCAATATTTTTAAAATCAAAATTAACAAAAAAATAAATGACAAAATGTCAACATTTCCAATAAAGCCGGGTCCCACTTCCTCCCTTACAGCCCTGCCCTTCTGCAAGTCTGGCAGTTTTCCGGGCCGACCCTATTCCACACCCCCTTGCTGACCCTTTGGCACCTGGGCTTCTATTCATGAGGCATACACGCATGGGTCCCCACAGAGCTCAAAGATCAAAGACTAGGGACATCTGAAGTTGGAACCTCAGCAGTGAGCCCTCTCCCTGCTCTGTGACTCCAGCTGGGTTTATGAGTGCCAGGCAGCTTGCCTAGACAAGGGTAGCATTGGCCACAGTCTTCCAGACCCTTGACTGCTAAAAATGAGAAGAGAAAGAGGGATGAGAGGCAGGAGGCTGCAGGTGAGGGACCAAGGGAGCAGGAGAGTGGAAGAGCCTGGGTGGGGGACAGTGCTACCTGTCCTGGTTTAGCTCTTCCCTGAGCCCTGCTCAGGCCCAGGAGGGAGCTGCATCCACTTGATGTCAGAGTAAGAATTCTCCTCCCTCAGTCCCAACCCAGGTGCACACAGGAGAGACACTCACAGATGGGACTGTGTGGCATGTCCCCAGGGAGGCTCAGGTCATGCCCCAACTCAGTTACAAACCACATGAGATTCTCAACACAAGAAAGAAAGATGGCCCACTGCCCTAGGCCAGCAGGTACACACCACCACCCAGCGAGGCCCCCCAGCAACTCTCCAGCAGCCCCCCAGAGAGGACTTAGGGCTCACAGTTCCCTTGCAGTCCGACCACTGACAACCAATCTCTCTCGACACCATGGATCCCTGGCAGGCGACCCCAGAGAGGTCCCTCCCCCTCTGAGGAGATGCTCAGGAGCCACCTGGGCATTCAGGTGGTTTAGTGTGCGTCCCATGAGAAAAGGGGCAGGTGGAGAGAAAGGTCACGGGCCCCTGAATATCAGGAATGCTGAAAGCCAGCCTGGCAGAGAAAATGTCCCCAACCATAGTAAAAGAGAGATGGATGTCTGGAGTGGCAGGGCTAAGGCAAGACAGGCCCCTGGCATAAGGGCAGAAGAGACAGGAGCAAGGACCTGGGATGGTGAAGAGACAGAGTCCTGGGGGACGAGAGGACCTGAGACAGGAAAGGAGGGAGACTAAAGAGGAGAAGGACAAGATGGGGGCACACAGAGCTGCTCACTGTCCCTGGCTGCACAAGCGATACCCCCAGTGGTCCCGGCGGTGTTCACAGAATGCAGAGAAGGCACCCTGTGTCTTTTTCAGGAAAGATGCTCCGAAATGAGAATTCCAAGGACAGGCAGACCTAGCCAGGCATCCGTGGGCACCTTCAAGTTGGACACATTCTCCAGTTCAAGCTGTGGATGCCAACTTCTATGTTCCCCAGGGGTTCACATCAGGGTAAATTTTAGGCTAACCCTGGCAGAGCTCAGGGTTGGGGCCCCAACCTTCCCTGCAGATTTACCACTCAAGAGAGCAAAGGCAGCGTGAACCTAGCTTTGGGACAGGAGAGTCTGACCGCACAGGTCTGCCCCGGGCCGTGCACCCATACCCCTTGGGAGTGGCTTGGGTTTCCTGGTTTATTATCCCTCTGTAACCACAGCAACAGAACTAGCCCTGTGTTTGAGACCCTCACCCAGCTTTTGGACTCCCACTCCCTGAAAATCTCCATGAGGGAGTTCTAGGGAGGAGCCCGACTCTCCACCCCTGGGTCACCTCCCAGGTAACTGCAGGGAGCCTGTCTGCTGGGTGCCTGAAGAGAGTAGGCAGAGACCGAGCAGGAGGGATTCAAGGGCAACGTGGCCCCAGGCCCCAGAAGGGGAACTAGGCAGTCTGAAGATGTTTGCTTACTGCCAATCTCAAACTTGTAGAAGAGTTTGTTCAACAGAAGTGGTCAAATCTGGAAAAGGAAGCAGCGATCACGCGATAGCTAGACCAATTGCGCAGAGGAGGACTGGAGTTAGGCCACACCTTCTTCCTGCCTTCCCTGGGGGACAGTCCTAGGACTAGGCTTTAGACAAGGACATTAAAGATTTGGATTTTAATAACTTTGCCCATGATGACCATGTAGATTTGGAGAGACCTGGAGACCCAGTGACATACTCTAAGCTTGGTGCAGGGCCTGCCCTCTCAACCAGCTGGAAGAAAGCTGATAAAGGGTTAGTCATAGCTGCAGATGTCAAAACTGGGCCAGGCCAGAATGACAAAGGAGAAGGAATTCAAATGGGTGAACGCCAAGCTCCACTTTTCCCTAACCAAGATCACTTGGCATGAACATGAATGAGACAGATTTGCTTCCGTGCAACGTGTGAAGCAAAGGGCTAGGTGAGGCCACAAGCTCCATATGCCTCCTGGGGATGGGCTGCCTGGGACGTGGGCATACCCTGGCTACCTGGGGCTCCTTCTACCAGCCTCCCTGACCACGTTCCCCTGGGACAAGGCAGACCTACATGGCCCTGCCACTTCCCAGCCTGTACATCAGAGAGCCAGAGTCCCTGGTGTGTCCCCCCTTCCTCGGGTGGCCTTTGCTCTGTGAGGCTGGGTTAGCCCTAATGTCAAGTTCTTGCCCAGCTTGGCTTTTCCCAGCTATTCCTCCCTACTCCTCCCCTGTGGGTCACCATGAGCTTGGGGAAGCCAGCCCCACAGGAGTGGTGAGGGCTGGGGTCTTCTGCCAGGCAGCCCTGGGAACTGTAGCATCCTGAGCAGGGTGCAGGGCTGAGGCGAAGGACCTGGGACAGCCCTGGAGAAGGAATGTTTAACCAAGTGGCCAGATCGCAGCCGAGCTGGCCAGGGAGAACCAGCCCTTCCTGCGGCTGAGGAACACCACCCGCTGCAACCAGCACATGTTCCGAGTGCTTCACATGGGACATCCTAGTCCATTCTCAAGACAGTCAAGGAAGGAGGCATTGTTACTGTCCCCACCTTACAGCTGAGGAAGCTTAGGATCCTTGAGGCTGTTGGTGTGGATCCAGGTTCAAATTCCAGCTGTGGACTCTAAGTGGTAGCCTCAAGTCCAAAGCATCAGGACCCCTTCCATCACTGTTAAGAGAATAAGCTAGCATGACCAGGGGACAGAGACCCATACCAGCAGACCCGGAAGTCACACCACGCAGAAGGGGCCACTTCCTGCTTTCCCACCATCCCCACACTGACACCCAGCCAGCAGGCCCCATGCACAGCTCCTCCCCATTTAGGTTTTGGTTCCTCGTGAGGCAACAGCAGCCTGGGGCCAAACAAGAGATGAATGTCTGTGTCCTGGCCAAGAGGGGAGAAGCCCCAGGAACCCAGGCTTCAGCTGTCAGGGACCCTGGCTATTGAACAGAGGACACTCCAGAGAAGACAGGATTCTTGTGGGGCAGGAGCCCTCGGACTTGGGTTTATGCTCCAGGGAACAGAATTTACCAGAACAAAATTACTAAGATCATCAGGATGCAAGCACCTTTCCTATGGGGTCCTGAGAAAGTGCTGACCTCTCAACTTGCATTTATTTAGGGTTTAAAAACAAACAAATATACGGACAATGAGATTCCACACCTCCCAGAACAGGACCTGAAAGGGACACGGCAAGTCTAGCCAGAAATCCAAAGTCCAAGGGCAGAGATTTGTAAGGACACCCTGAGCACTGCAGCATCAAGCCTGACCCACGAAGTGACAGCAAGGGGCCTTGTCAGTCTTTAGTCCCAATCAGAAATTCAGCTACAGTCACTCCAGGCAGCCCTGATGGCAAAGGCTGGGCAGCTCAATTAGCGGGTCAAGTGTGAGGGTTAACCAAGAAGGTATTTTGGGGACCCCAGCCAGGACCTAGGTTGGGCAGGACCCCAGCACCACCCTGCAGAGGTTTATCTCCATCACTATAGGAGGGTGGGTGTCTTGTCTGGCCTGTCCCACACTGGGCCCAGCCTGGGCGGCCACTCTGCTTCCAAGAACAGCAGGATGTGGCAGATTGGCACACATCTCAGGAGAGCCAAGCGTGACAAAGGGAAAGTCTCTGCACGGAGAGGGTTTCACTGCCACCAGCCACACCCTGTGGCGTGCAGCCCTTCCCTGGCCTCCTGAGCCTCCCACCTACCTCTCCTGTCCCCAGAGCAGCCTCACCCTCACCCCCACACACACCCTGAAGAACTCAGCCTCCCGGAACTCCTCCTCCCCAGATCTCCCACGCAGGAGTGGCCAGTGGTACCTGTCACTTGGGGCTCTCAATTTAATGTAAGAATTCATTCTTTCAGCAATGCTTTAAAATAAAACCACCAAGAGTCCTAGGGGAAATATGACACAGTTCTGAGGGCAGGCTGAACAGCAGGTCAAGTATTTTTACAGAAAATCAAGGATCTTCCTTATGCACGGGTGCAGAAACCCTGCTCAAAGCCCAGAGCCCAGAATACGCAGGTAGCCCTTGGGAATCAAGCCCTTGAAAACCAGCACAGTTATATGGAGCCAGAAGCCACAGGCTGCATTCTGTGGTCTACAGGCTGCCCATGTTCAGGGCAGAGATGCGCCCACCAGCCATGGGTTTGGGTGGTCCAGGGCCCTGCTGTCCCTGGCCCTGGCCTAGGGCCAAGACCACGGGATGGCCAGCTCCAGGGCCACAGCTCCTCATTCAGGGGCTGCACCGGAGCAGCCACAGCAGCTAGGGCACCGCAGGGACTGCATGACAGCGCGCAGGGGGCCCCTGCGTCCGTCGGTGGACAGACTGTCCTTGCTGGCCGGCACCAGATGCAACTGCTCCAACTGCATCTCCAGGTGCTTCTGGATGGCCACACCCAGCACTTCGGGATCCACTGAGGCTCCATACACCTCCCATGTCATGCCCTCAGCGTCCCACCGCACATCCCGCACGGGAGACAATGCTTCCTCCAGGCTGGGCCCCAGCGTAATCTCGGGGAACATGTGCAGGGCAGAGGCTGCCAGGGACGGACTGGTGGCCACTGCCTTGCAAACTGCCACTGGGGCTGCCTGAACGCCAGCATCCTGGGCCGAGGCCAGCGTAGGTGTCAGATCACTGGTGGAAGTCATGGTCCACACGTCCTTGGTCCTGCAGCCAGACTCTGTGGCCGGCCCTGTGGGGCCCCACGGGTGGGCACAGCAGTGAGCATGCCCTGGAAGCAGCCCGGGTGCCGTACAGTGAAACCTCACTCCATGCTGAGCCTGCAGCCCAGACTCACTCACCGATGCCACCAGTTTGGGAAAAGCCAGGATCCCTGTGGCAGGCAGGGCATGGCAGCAGCCACTAGTCACCACCTCCCTCATGCTGCAGAGCAGAGCAGCTGGGGGCAGTGCATGGCAGGAGGCAGTGGCTGGCTGTCCAGTGGCTTTGGGCTCAGCCTGGGGACTGCTGTTAATGGCAGCTGTGTCCCCCTGCTCTGGCGGTGGCTCCCACGCCTGACTGTCCCCCAGCATCCATGCTGAGTTAGAAGTCTCATCTTCTTGAGCCAGGTCCTGTTCCACAGCTGCAGGGGCTGGGCTACCCTGAGTAGAAACATCTCCAGGCTTCAGCTGAGCCTTGTGCACAGGGGAGCTGCCACTGAGGGCTGAGCAGCTGAGGCTGGCCTTCCGGGCACCACCGTACCCCTGTGTCTGGACACTGTGGGCCAGGTCCGAGTGGCTCCTCTGCACTGCAGCTGTGCCGGGGACCCTCAAGTGGCCAAGGTCCCCACTGCCCATCATGGACACGTTGCCCATAGTGCTGCTCCGCCAGCGGCCCGTGGCTCGAGGCCGGGGTTCGGGGGCCTGAGCCTGTGCAGCTGGACTCTTAGGCAGGTGCTCCTCTTCCTCCGGGGCTTGGGGGCCAGTGCTGGCCTCGCCCTGTTGGGCCGGCCACACAGTGCTGCTGGCACTCTTGCGAAGCTCTGCCCTCTGCCTGCGGCCTTCGCACAGCAAGGTGGAGGAGCTCTGGGACAGAGGCTGTGGACAAGGACTCCGGGGCGTCCCAGAATCTGGCTTGACGTGGCTGGAACTCATGGCTGCCTGCAGGAGAAAAAAGGAAGGATAGAAGTTGAGCTGGGAGTCGGATCTTCTGCCAGAGTTGGAGCTCACACAGTGCTGGGCACACTGGAGACACAGCTTCAGTGCCAGCCTGCCTGACTGGTCAGCGCTATTAGCAATCTACACACCCAGTTCAGGGCATCCACATTATACATGGGGACGACACTGTAAATACCCTATCAGCACCCCTGAGGCAGGGTCCTGGAGACCACCCACTGCACTGGCCACTGACTCTACTGTCTAGGTTACGGGAGAGGGGATGGGAGGCCCAGAAGAGAACCCAGGTCTCCCAGGGCTGAGACCGCAGCCCTGGGGCAGGGACTTTGGGACAGTGGCTCAGACAGTCAGCACTGAAGTGCTGCAGGACCTTAACAGTCAGGACAGCTGGGCTGGCCAACAGCAGCCTGGTCCTCCCAGGACTGGCAACATCGGTCTCACCATGCTGGGACCCTTGTGGGGACAGACCGGGGGCTCAGAAGTTTGTGAGATGAGATGGAGCACATGCTGAGAAACACCTCAGGTTGTCCCTAAGCCCCTCCGGCCTGGCCTGGCTACGCTGTCCAGCTCAGAGAGTCTTGGTATCGGTACAAGGGGACAAAGTTCCCTGAGGCCGCCTCTAGCTTCAGGCAGTGAGAGAAGCCCCACCCAACAGCTCTCATTCCTTCCACAGCCATCTTCTGAGCCCCCACCCTGCCCCGGCTGCCTCCTGAGCAGGCTCTGCAGCTGGCCCAGACAGGACCCACTTTCTGGCAGCAGTGAGCTCAGATGCCCACCCAACATTATTAGACATGTCCTCCACGACACTTCAACTCCCTCTTGCCCAGTATGCTATGTTCTCCCTGCCAAAGCCACCCAGAGCTCCCCGGAGGTGTGGTGTGCACTGACCCAGCAGAACCGAGTCAGCACAACATCTCTTCTGCCGCCACCTGTGTCTCCTCCTGGGAGCCTTCCCTGGCCACCCCAGTGAGGCAGCCCCATCCCTGCTGAGCACCCTCGGACCCAGATGGAACAGGCTGCCCTCCAGCCTCCCTGACAGACAAAAGTTGGCAAAGCCCTGGCTTGTGGCCTGTTCCCTACCACCTGACCAGCTCTCTCCACTGACCTGACATCTACTGTGTATCTGATAGAGGGCATGAGCCTGTGCACGGACAGATCACTCAGGAGCAGCCTGAGTGCTCACACAGGCCCATAGTGGGTCCTGCAAGGCAGTGAGCTTCTACCCACCAGAGGCGACCCAAGAGGCTTTCCTGAGGCCAGGGCATGGAACTCAGGGCTAAAGGGAGGGGTAGACACAAGGTGCAGGTAGAAGCAATGGGCAGGTAGAAGACAAGAGGCAGGGGTTCAGAGCATGCAGGGAAGCAGTGGGCCAGGAGAACAGCAGGACCCAGGACCCTGGCTAAAGCTGTGGGTGAGGAACATCCCTCAGGGACACCCGGCCAGGCAGGACAGGCTGGAGAAACAGGGAGGGTACAGGAGGAGCAGCTACAGTTTGGGCAACCCCCTGCCCTGCCCTCCCACCCTGGGCTGATAAGGTCTGCCAGGAAACCACCCTCTCTAGCCAGGCAAGCAAGGCTGCCGAAAGTGAGCACAGGAGGAGCTCCTGGGCCCAGTTTCATTTCCTTGCAAACATCTCACTATTGTGCACACAGGGGACAGCTAGTGGCTGCTCCGCTGATGGCAAAGCTGGTTCTGGATTATGGGGCCCAACTCTGCACAATGGAAAGGATCTGCCCACGCCCCTCAGTCACATGAGGCTCCTGAGCATGTGACAGGCAGCTACAGTGGCCAAGAAACTGCATTTCTGATTTTACTTGAACTTAAGTCATCTAGATTTAACTGGCCACATGTGAATGGCTGCCGTATCAGACCTTGCAGCTCTGAACACAGCCCAGAGGGGTAGGGAGGATCCCATCCCAGCTTCACACTGGGGCTGAAGCCAGCCTGGTCCCAGGAGAGGCAGGAAAGGGGTGAGTGGCCAGGCACTTCCCTCGAGGCATTTTAAGATGGAGAGATAAATAGAAGAGGCCATTACCAGCTCCAGTGCCAGGCATGTGCCACATCCTTTGCAAACAGAGTCTCATTTAATTGTCAAAGCAACATTATGAGATAAATCGGCATCCCATTCTACAAAGGAGGAGGTCAAAACTCAGAGGTTCAGTGACTTGCCCAAGGGCACACCACTGGCCAGTGGCTGAGATTCTCTGCCCCTCTGAGCACCACACAGACCTCCCTCTTAGCCACTGTTACCCTCTCCTGTCATCACCTGGACTCCCAACACAACATCTAACACTTAAAATGCCAATGAAGCAAGTGAACAAACAGGAAAACTCCTTGGGTGGAGCCCTACACTTTAGACCCTCCTAGGGAGTAGGACCAGAGCCAGGCCAGGCCCTGACCCCGTAAGGACACAGGTGGGACAGGACCTAGTGAGAAGCCATCAGTGCTGGGAGTCTTTTCATGACTACCCCACCAGATTAGCTGTCCCCCAGAGAGTTCAGTGACCCCAGGGACCCCACTGAGAACTATTCATCTATTGGTTCCTTTCCATATCCCACCACCCCATAAGTGGCAGGTGACAAAAGTGAGCAGTTAAAAACAAAAGTGTCAAAGAACCCAAGGCTGAAGTGGCTGATTTAGAACCCAGCAGGGCTTCTCTTGCAACCTGGCCTTCCTACCCCTGGGAGAGACAGGGTTCCAAGGAAGTCCCTTTAGGTTACCCTGGGGAGAGTTCCCATGTGCCCTGTCACAGCTCCCTGCCCCCTTGGGCTAGAACAAGGAGAGGGCTCTGCCCTTAGCCCCACATGCATAGAGAGGAAGGGGCATATAAGGTTCTGCTTTCCCCTCTCCCACAAATGTGCCCTCAGGTGGACACCTCACTTCTTTGAGCCTGTTTCCCCAATCGGAAAAATGGAAGTAAGCCTCCACACTGCAGGGCTGTTGTGAAGACTATAAACTTGACAACATACGGACTGTGAAAATCATTTTCTCTTCTCCTCTATGGTGAGCAGCTGGGGCTCAAGGGATCGCTGGAGCTACGACGGGGCAGGGGCGGGGGGCAGTAAGGTCCTTTTAGGAAGCTCCCACAGTGACCCATAGGTCAGCCTGGTCTTGATGTCCACCCTTGCTACCTTCATCCCATCCTAGGGCCTGGACATCACCAGTGTCCCCACCCCCATGCTGTTTCACGGATCCCACTTTAGGCCACTCTCCAGGAGGATAAACATACTTAGGACTTTGAAGTCTGCTCGCCAAGTGCCCACCTGCCTTCATGACAGTGGGAAAGGTCTGGTTTCCCCCCAAAGAGGCCATAGGACAATGTTTCAGCAGACAAAGCACAGGCACATAGGGCCTCCTAAGAATACTAGTATGCTTCTGGCTCCCACCATGTGATGCCAAAGTTGTGATGGCTGTGGCCAGTGTTCTGTGGCCAAAGCTGGGCAGCAACTACAGGACCAACCAGCCTCACATGCAGCTGTCAATCAAGGTTGTTTTGAGCAAAAGCCCCAGGTCTGTAGAAACTTCTAGACTGCCCAGCCAGACTGCTTTGCTTAGTTGACTTGGTTAGATGTTCCAATTCTCACCCTGGCAGAGGAGCCCAGGGCTTTATAATGCAGCCAGGAGAACTACCAAGGCTCTCATATCAGACCACACTGTGGTGTTCCTGTGAGTCCCTCTTGTTTTGTTTTGTTTTTGTTTTTGTTTTTTTAGTACCAGGGATCGAACTCCGGTCCTTGTGCTTTCAAGACAGGCATCGGAACCACTGAGCTAAATCCCTGGCCCTTGTGAGTCCCCACTTGGTAAGCAGCAGGCATCTGGATGATGTCTTCTGTGTCCAGCAAAACCACAGTGGGAAAATCAAGTCCAAAGGGTCAGGAGGGCAAATTGATCACATGACAAGGTGCGGAACTTACCCCTCTGGGACCAGGTAAGGATCCACATCCCACAAATCCCTCAGTGCGTGGTGGGGGCTTGGCAACCTCCAGCAGGTGGTTTAATCCATCCCAGAGGGAAAGGGGGCCTGGCAGGACCACTCAGGGCCAAAGCTGGGCAATGCAGCAGGAAGAATCTGGGAAAGGTGATGCTCGAAGGGGGCCAGACCTGCCCATCAAAGACAGGACATGGGTGCCTTAGGGCAACACGGTCTGGGTCACAAGCAGTGCCAGGAAAGCGTTGGGGGATCAGTATGCCCAACAGAGATCCAGGCCCGCACAAGCTTCCTCCCAGGGGGAGGCTCTGCCCACACTCCCCGGCTTGACCAGTTGCTCCAGCCTAGAAGCAGCCCAGGTAGCCAGTGCATCCCTCCCGCACACTCACGGACACCGTGACAGGGTGGACACACGCGCTGCTGAGGACACACCAGAAGCTGGGCAACCCTCGTGTGCGGGCAGCCTGCAGAGAGGCGTCCACAAAGCTGCCCTTCTCAGCCAGCGCTGGCCAAGGCCTGGGGGCCCGTGCACGGCCTCGCCCAGGGTGCTCCTGCCCGCCCTCCCGGGCCGAGCCCCCGCCCTGCAGCAGGCCCCCGGCCACCGGGCTGCAGACCTGCGGACAAGGCAGGGGTGGGGAGAGGCGGTCTGGGAGGGCCGGCAGGGGCAGGGGCAGGGGCAGGGGCAGGGGGAGGGGGGGGGTTCCGGCCCTGAAAGGGACATTTGGGGAGAAAGGCGGGGAGGCCGTGGAGCCGGAGGAGGGGCAGCGATGGGAGGGGGTGCGGCCCGGGGCCGCGAGAACCCCGGGAGCCTGGATGCCAAGGTCTGCAGCGATGAGGACGGGGCTCCAGGGCGCGACCAACCCCCTCCCGCCTCGGGCACGCGAGCGCCGGCCTCTCACCCGCTCCCCCACCCCGGGCCGCACAACCGGCCGAAGCGCTCGCTGCTCCTGCGGCCGCTACAGGTGCCCGGCGCGGCGGCCCAAGATGGAGCCGGACCGGACCCGGCTGGGCCACAGACGCCGCCAGCCGCGGTACCGCACGCCGCCGAGCCAGCGCGGGGCGGGTCGGCGCGGGCAAACTGGAGGCAGCGGTGGCCCGGCCGGCTCACCTGGACCTGCGCGCGGCTCCACTCACGGCAGCGTCCGGCCCCGCCCCGGCCCCGCCCCCGCGCCCTCGGCCCACCCCCAGGTCTTGGCCCTGCCCCCACGCCACCGAGTCCTGGGCCCCGCCCTCAAGATGCGGTCGGCTCGCGTCCAGGCCCGGACCCCAACGCCAGATCCAGCCAGGCTTCAAGACCCCTCCAGCCTTCAGGGTCCCCACAGACCTGTCTTTTTAGCTCTGTACCCATCATGAGCCTCTGGGTTCCAAGCCTGCCCAGCAAACACCAAGACACCCATCTTCCCACCCCTGCCCTGCTGTTCCCCGCCTTACAAGGCCTGGCCCGCAATGCAATCCTCCAGCCCCACCCCAAGTCCACATACTCAAGGCCCTGCCGCCCGCCCCCCATTCCCCTCCAGCACCACGTTCTGTAACCCGGTGTACAGCCCTTCCCGCCATGTCCTTCATCATCCTCTGGTCTCGGACCTTAGCTTTGGGGCCCTGTTTAGGATGCGCCCACTTGCATGCCAGGCCTGGTCACCCGTGGCCTGTGCCCAAGACTGGGCCTCACAGCCCCATCCTCACCTCTGCCCTCACTGCCAGGGCCTTAGCTGGCCCGCGGAGCTCTGTGCTCCCAACCTGGTCCCCAGAACACCCACCTACCTCCTACCCCAGCTTCACAGTCTCCTTCCCCAAGGTCAAGAGCCAGCGGTCTCCCCAGTCCCCCCAGTATTCCATCACACCTGCGCACCCAGGTCCCTGTCCTGACCCTTGGCCCCAACCCAAGCCAACCCAACTTGGGGCCCTCAGTCTCAGCCCACCAAAGGGAGCCCGCAATGGACATTCATAATGAGCACGGGGGGAGCACACCCCAGGCTGTACCCTTTCCCACCAACTCCCTGCTGCCCTAAATGCTTCTCCTTGGCCCATCCAGCCCCTGGGATTCCCCAGGACCCAGTGGGGACCAGGGATCCCCATTCGCTCTCCTCAGCCTCCCTCAAGCTCAGTCAGGGCAGGCACCTACCCAGCCTAGGCTTGCCTGAGACCATGCTACCCTCTGGGTTCCTGTCACTTGTCCCCATCCAGAGACTTGTGTCTCAGTGTCACCCCTCCTATCGACAGCATCCTGGTGGACTCCTGCTTGCTCGTCCAGGTCCACCTGAGGGGTCGGCATTCCATCCAGGAAGTGACCAGGTGCCCACTCCACCTGTGCTCCTGGGGGACCTCAGTCTCCTTAGGTAGACTCAGTCTGCCCTAGTTACTCTTTTCCTGTGAGGTTGGGCAGAGCCCTGTCTCGGCTTCTAGAAAACAGGAGTCAGAGTGGAGGCCTCAGGCTTTTGCCTCCCCACCACACGGCCTGACTGAGGGACCCTGGGCAGAGGGGCCAATGGGGGATGTATTTGTTCTGTCCCTCTCAGAAACTGGAGCTCCTCTTTCTTTATCTCAGGAATCTTACTCCTCCTCCCTCGGTAGAAAAATGATCTGAGCCCCAAGAAGGGATGAGATATGCGTGGCTGCACTGAGGCTGGTGCCAGACCCAGACCTCGAACCTGGAGCTTCCAGCTCTGGGGCATCCCAAGAGCTCCCCAAGAACCTTACCATGCGTTTCAGGGAAGCCTGCTTGGGCTTGGGTGCCGGCACATGCCCACCATCTTGGATGCCCACAGACACACTCTGCTGGACCACAGCCCCGGGGTCTCCAGGCATCTCCTTGGTCTTGTCATTGGACACACTGTCCCCTTCCATTGGTGGCTTGGTAAGGAGGCTCCACTGCTATGGCACCTGCCCAGGGTGAGCCCAAAATGGGGACTCAGGCATGAGCTCTAGTCCCAACTCCCCAACATGTTTGCTGCAATCTCGTGCCCTAGCAGAAATGTTCATCTCTCACCTGCCAAGTGGCAGTAATTATACCTACCTCCCTAGAGGACTGTGGGAAGATGGGGTTGTGCAAGTGGGATGTGGGATGTTCAAGTATTTCCCAACCCCTCCTGTGTCAGGTCTGGAGGTACAAGCTGGGACTGCGGTGGAGGAGGCACAGGGCTTTGTAGATAGCTTCAGAAGAGAGAAGTGACTCTGGCTGAGGTCTGCTTGGGCCGTGTACCATCGCAGAGGCCCTCACCCTAACAGAAGAGGATCAGGTGTGGGGTGCACTTGGGAGGTCAGTGGGGGCACCACGTGGAGAAGTAAGGTGCACACAGGACTGGATGGACGGTCCCAGGGTTCTGTTTGTCATGGCACCAGGGTGGCCCCAGAAGTCCTGGGGGTGGGTGAGAACTTCAAGGAGCATAGAGTGAGGGGACGGCTTAGGATCCAGCTTTGGGAGACCAGGTGGCAAAGACTGAGAAGGAGCACCCAGAAAGGACAAAGGGAAACGGGGTATTGTGGGGACCCATGATATACAGAGCAGGCGGCTTGAGGGAAGCTCTGGAGGCAGGAGCCGCAGAAGCCCATGGAGGGGTGAACTGGAGGGAAGATGCAGAGGCAGCACAAGCCCAGATAACTCTTAAGCATGGTCACAGAGGGAGGGGACAGAAAGATGTCACTTGGGAAGGGAGGTAGGGGCAAAAGGGGCATGTTGTGGATTTAGTTGGGTTTTCTGTTTTATATTGTTTTCCAATAAGCTACATCTTGCCTTGCTTTCAAACAGCAGAAAGAACTCTGTCATACAGAGCAGGGGCAGGGAGGCTGTAGGAGCTTGGAAGGGAAACAGGCTGGAGGGCCAGCCTTGACTCTGCAAGACAGGACCAGGTGACTGCAGACCCCACAGCAGCACCAGGATCTCACCCCATTACCACCAAGGGAGGAAGGGTTCCAGCCCTCAGTCCACATGCCTCTCTAGGGGTGCCACTGCCACACCATGGCCTTACACAGTGGCATGGTTTTACAGAAGGGATGGAAGCTGGATAGTCAGAAACAGGCATCCCTGCATTGTGCCAAATCAAGTGTATTTGACAGCTGGGGAGACGTACCCAGGAGAGGCATGGATGGGAATTCAGGAATGGAGTCACTGCTGGCACAAGGTCCCCCATGGGCTGAGATCCAGAGTGGATTAAGTAGGGGGAAGGGCGGGTGGCTTTTTATGTAATGGGGGCACAAGGAGAAATGATGAGGCAGCACCGGAGAAGGATCGTCTCTCTCCTCTTAGGCAACCCTAGTCTAAATCCACATCCTCGCCTCTTGGGATCCAAAATGTATACCAGTTTAAAACTTGTTCACCCTGCTTGACAATCCCAGGCCAGAAGGAGAGAGCTTTTCAATTCTCCAGCCCATGTCATCCCCTCTTTCCAGAGGGTGGGGACAAGACACTGTGACCAAAACCTGCACCAGGGTCACTGACAGCAGGGAACAGTTGCTCCCCCCAAAAAAGAGCAAGATGCAGTTGTCAGCCTAAGGGCAAGTAACACTGACCGGGTCAAAGCACAGATGACCCCTGGGGAGAGCGTCTATGGCAAGAGAGGTGCCAAGAGCTGGGATGGGTCAGCGTGTCCGCAGTGGAAAAGGAAGAAAGAGCTTTGACAGAAGTGAACTGTGTGTTTTTCTGACAAAGTTGTGCCTAGAGTACAGGAGCCACCTCCCCTAGCCATGAGCTCCATGAATGAAAAGGCTTTCTATCTGATAAGCAGACATGTGCTTCTCATGACCTGGTATGCAATACATGCTGGAGGGAGGGAGGGAGGGAGGGAAGGATGGACAGGTGCACGGACAGGTGCACGGACAGGTGTATAGATGGATAGATGGGGTATGGATGGATGGATGGGTGGATGGATCAATGGATGGATCAATGGATCAATGGGTGGACAGATGGAGGGACAGATAGATGAGCAGATGGACAGACAGTTGTCTGGACAGGTGGGTGGGTGAGTGGATGGTGGACGGATAAATGGATGGATGGATGGACAGATGGATGGTTATACAGATGGATGGACAGTTGTATGGATAGGCGGGTAGGTGGATGAGTGGATGAATGAATAGTAGCTTCTCCAGGAATACTCATTATCATCCCATTTTAATTCCACATACATCTTCCTGAGTCCCTTACAAGTGCCAGGTCTAGACTGTGATCTGGCAGTATAGATTGAATCAGAGATGCCTTGTGGCCAAGGCCTGTGTGATGAAGGCTTCAGGCAGGATGACGATGCAGTAAAGGATGACTAGGTCACAGTGTTGGAAGGTAATGGGAGGTGCTGGGGCATGCACAGGAGAAGCCCTAGAGTACACACCTGCACCTTTCAGTTCCCCACCATACATCCCTCTATTTCCTTTAGGGATCACCCAAAGACTGCCTGCTAAATATCCCCCAGTACATACTGTCCCCAAGAACAGGACCACCCAGGATATTGGCCACATCCTCAGGCACCTTTCTGTAGGGTTCTGACTGGGGAGAGGTTAGCAAAAGTGATG